ATGAATAATGAAAGATAAAGAATAATAGGTCTGCTTTTTACGATGAAATTTTTATTATTTTTTTTTTCTTGGCTAAACATTTGAATAAACAAAAGGCAAAACAAACACGAAAAATGAACTCACTGTAACTGAATGAAATTGTGATAAAAAATTAAAATTTCAGTATTTTTTACATATTTCTTTACGAGTCTGAGGTTTTTTACAGGAAATTTAATCAAAATTAAGCCGACTTGGTGTATGTTGTTTTCGAAGAGTGCGTCTAACTGAAGGAGCTGAATGATTGTCCGTTTCATTCCTTCTTCCTGAAATTTTTTTGTGTTTTTCAATTGTTTAAGATTATCAGTGTGAAGCTCGAAATGGGCTGGAGTCAAATTTTGCGTGCTTTTCTGAAAAAATAATTTTGATGCATTATTGACTTAATTTGATGCTTGCTGTTGAACTCTGCACTTTTGTTTGCCACATTTCGAGTCTCTTTTTTTGACCTAAGTCTACTGCTCATTTCTGCGAAATGTCACACTTTTTATCTTCGTCTGTGAATTTTAATGCCTCCTGGATGATAAAAAAAAAAAATGCGTTAGCTTCACTCCCTAGAGTGCGCATCTGAAATAGCCAGTGTTCCTAATTCAGCGTTTTTTTTTCTCGAACATTGGTATGACTTTTTTAATCAGCGTTAGATTACGAACTAACAGTAGGTTTTCTTACATGTATTACTGAATGGCACCCATGCAATGTTAACAGAGCGCACAGAAGGCCGTCAGTGTGATGGAAGGACCCACCAGAGCTGCTGTATGGAATTTTTTTAAAAAATGAGAAAGGTCCAAGAATAATGGGGAAGTTGCAGTTGCAATATCAGCCAGAAAAGTAGCAGCAGCTAGGATCAGAATATTTGGTCCATTAAATTACATATGTCTTATCCCAATATCGCAGCTCAACATATGTCTATATATATAGGACCAGTTACGAGTACGAAAATCTGTGCAACTTAATGATTCAAAATTAATTGTTATTTGAATATAAAAAGAAAGAAAACGCTAAACTAATTATTTTGTTCGGTGCACTGGCTCGCCTCCTAGACAATGCTTCCATGGCCGTTAAGCGTGTTACTCGCTTTTGTTCCAGTTGAACAGAACCACCTTCCAAGCTACTTTCGCTCTGCAAACTTATTATGCCGATCATTCAAGTTCTTTTATGAACTTCTGGTAGCTTTTGCCCCTATCTCATCTGTAACTCTAAAAAAATTTGATAAACATTGATAATATAATTGTAGGCAGCGAAATTTTGGAGGAGTTCCTCGCTCCTTCTCCGTCTTTCCTTTTAAAGTACATATTATTAAATCTACCGTAATCATCGCCAGCATCGATGGAACCTTGAAACGGCTAAAGCCTCAAAAAAGCGTTTGTGTCTACAGAAGCAGTGAACTGTTATCTTTTTAGAAGGCTAAAGAAATGATAGAATCGCCAGCAAACTGGCCATCAAGAGCTGTAGCATTAGTCAAGGCAAATGCAAAAATTGCCAGCTGCGTAGTTTGAGAACTATACTATGAATTACAGCTAATCCAAAAATTAGTTTCTAATTTAGTTGGAGCTGAGAGTATTTCCAAGACCCTCTACTCGCTGAAAAAGACCGGAAAAACGGTGTGAGAATCTAAGAAGTACTGGGATGCTCTCACATGCTGTGCTAGGCGTTTCGATCCTGAGTTGCATAATTCCAGTTAGTAACCATCGTTTATTCTCTCCCAGTATCAGCCATTGATATCTGTGGTGTTTATCAGTTGAAAATAATCATCAGAGATATTTATTACTAAATGATTTAAAAAATGCTATAATTTGTTTTCACTACAAAATTTCGGCCAAGAGCGCCCTGTTTTTCAAATTTTTTCAGTACCACTCTTCTCTGTGCATAAAAAAATTTTCTAGATCCATGTCATGCTCATGGAATTCTTTTCACTGATACCAAGAACACCAAGATCGATAGGATTGTCAATATCAATGTCTCACGGAATCCTTATTATTCTTCGATGAAATATGAGCGATATTTGGCATTTTGGTGCATTAGCTGTTTGGGAGGTGAAATGAATAAATGGAAGCAATCTGTCAATCAGAGATATGGAAAGGCACGGGAACGAACCGAAGTGGTTGCGAATCGAGTGCGATTGGAGCGAGGTCCGGGAAAATGATCGTTGTTGTCCAGTAGGTTCGAATCCGTATCGGTGTTTTCGTGTCGAGACTGCAATGCATTGAGCCACTTCATTGCGCTCAGTTCATTTTCGGCGTCGCACTCAAATTTTCGTCCATTCGCGCTGCAAAAACAAGAAGCAATTATATTAGCTACTAGATTACATGTATAAGCTCAATTGCTTCAAGTTTTGGCCGAACAAACAGCTCGCTTTGTTTTTTTTTTTTTTTCATCCTTATGTATATAAAGTCATCTGATTCCCTCTTTCTCCCCGGCCCCTACCCCTTTGCTCTCCTCCACCACTTTCCTTCTTCATTTGCCTCACATTATCAGTAAATAAGGTTGTGAATTTTCCAGCTGTAGCAATTTCTTAATCGCATTAATTTGTCAGCTGCAGTAATTCCAGAACAAACGAATGCTATACTCTTTGTCCGGATGGGTAGTTTTTCCATTTCAGTTCAATCCCTTCATTCACATAATAACATGTGGCTGGAATATTATGTTGAGCTATAATTCATGGTCTGTATC